AGTTACTATAAGAAGCAACTATTGGTGTAAGATAAAAGATATGGTAATTCCCCCTTAGGTTATGTGACTAAATGATTACCCGGGATGTTTATAGTATGATATGATTTTATATTATATAGAAAGTTTGGGGTTACATATTCTAATTTTGTTTAAGACAGATGAATTTCCCTAAGTGTGATCCATGTACATAGTTCGAAAAGAATGATAGTGTGCAGCAAAAGAATATGGTCAGATGATGAGGGAATTTAGGAGTAACCTTATGCTTCACTTTAGTTATTCAAAGCATGAGAAGAAAATATGATGCTAGCAGGTGGTTAGTAAAAGAATAGGAAGTAAATTTTGAGTTGATACAATGAATTAGCACTTTCAGCAGAGCTAGTAGGGGTACAATTGATTCACTTAGCCAGGTTAACTCTAGTGAGTAGATGACAGTTTGAAATACCGAACGTATGTTAGAACCCAAAGAGTTTAAGTTAAACTCGAAGTACAGTAGCAGTGGGAAAAAATATTAGCTAGCAGTGAGAGCACAAACTATAGAAGAATAGCCTTTAGGAATTATCGTAATGTGGTTTCTCCAGGATTGACAATGTGAGCAGAGTTAAATTATTAAGATTGTATATGATAGCTGTGAATACATTAGCTTTTCGTTAAGTGAATAATTTAGTTTTTCCTAGTAAGAAAGATTTCTCAGAAGTAAGTTGGAAGATGAGTCGTCATTGACGTAGAGTGCAAAGAATTGCAGAGAATAAGGAAAGTTATTTGGATCCCAGCAAAAAGAGAAGGATCCACAAGTACAAGACATGTGGTCTAAGGGGTGATGTGAAAATTTTCAGTAAGTCCAGTTGGATATCTAAAACTCGAATAGTAGCATGGGATATGAAAAAGAAAATCAGTTCGGTAATGAAGGAAAATTGTATAATTACCACACGGATTATGTCTAGCAAGTGTAAGAAAAACAAAGTGAGTAGAATGATCACCGAGTTTAGTTATTGATGATAAAATGATCACAAAAAGCTATAGAATCATGCCCAATTATGTATCACGAGGGTAGTGACATTGCACAAGACTCTAGTCTTCGGAGTACTGGTTAAAGACTTAGCTAACAACAATTTTATAAGTGCTTTTAGGAAGTTCTTAAGAAGATAAAGTGTGGGAAGTATAACTCATGATTGAGGTAGATAAGAAAACTCTGGTAAAAGAAGTTCACCAGCCAAGATAGGAGTTCAACTTCGGACTCTAAAAGATGACAGAGTTGTTGTCTAGAATATGACTTGTTCCCCCTTAGTAGGCGAAGTGAAGGAGAAATAGTTTGATGATACCTACTTGTTGTAGCTGAAAGAGGAGATTCACAAGTATAAGATGATGGCTTTCGAATAAGGGGGAGATGATGGTACTTTGAGGTACCAAGATTGTGTGTACCAGACATAGATGGACTTAAAAAGGGAAGATCATGTTAGAAGCCTATAATTCCTGGTATTATTTCGATCCAAGTCCCCCAAATATGCATCATGACCAAGGAGATTGATTGGATGAACTACATGAAAAAGAACGTCGCAGACTTGCGGCAAAGTGAACGTCGAGCAGCAGAAAGCCTAGTGTTTTATCACAGAATACACATATTTTTTATGGAGATGGTAAATATGAAATTTATAAACGGTATTATCTTTCTCATTTTAAAAGCATGATTTGATTGAATGATTGTAAATCGACTTACCAAGTTAGCACATTTCTTGCCAGTAAAGACTACAGATTCAACAGAAGATTATACCAAGTTATACATTCAGGAAATCGTCTAATTACATGGGACTCCGTGGTCCATCATTTGGGACTGTGGTGCTCAGTTTAAAATGAACTTTTAGAAGTTCTTTCAGAAATTATTAGGCACACGTTTTTCATCCTCAAAAAGATGTCCAGGCAGAGCGCATTGTTTAAACAATTGAGGATATTTCCTTGATGTTAAAAGTAATTGGGATGACCACATACCTCTTATTGGCCTTGCTAATAATAACCTGCCATTCTAGTATCAAGATGGCACTGTACGAAGCTATGTGTGGGGGAAGGTGTAAATCACCAATTGGTTGGTTCAAAGTTGGAGAAGTGGAGTTGTTAGGACCTTATTTGATCTATCAGACTATAGAGAAAGTTAAGTTGATTCAAGAGCGTTTGAAGAAAACTCAGAGCCGCCAAAATGTCCTATTCGAGCGTGCGGCATAGAGACCTAGAATTCAAGTTGATGATTGGGTGTTTTTGAAAGTTTCGCCTATGAAAGGCATTATGATATTTGAGAAGAAGGGAAATCATAGTCCCTAATATATTGGTCCATATAGAATCTTGCAAAGGATCGGTTAATTAGCTTATGAGTTAGAGTTACCACCAGAATTAGTGGTGGTACAACCAGTATTTCGCGTGTAATGTTATAACATTCAAGTTTCCAGCACTCAAATATTCATGTCAGTTCAGTACTCAGATACTCATGTCAGTTTAGTACTCAGATACTCATGCCAGTTCAGTACTCAGATACTCATGTCAGTTCAATACTCAGATATTCAAGTTCGTTCAATACTCAACTACTCATATCAGTCCAATACTTAGATATCCATGCCAGCTTAGTACTTTGATATTGATGTTAGTTCAATTCTCAAATATTCGTGCCAGTTCAATATTCAGATATCCATGTTAGTTCAGTATTCACGTATTCATGGCAAACCAATATTCAGTCAATGCAGTTCAGTTCAGTATCTCAGCAGTTCAGTAATCATGTATTCATTATGTTTGGTATGCAAGTGTTGATGAAAGTTTATGGTTGCACCAAACCCGTTTAAGATCCGGAGTTAGCAGAAGTTACATTCAGGATAATCATTCGAGGACGAATAATCCCAATAGGGAGATAATGTAACACCCCATAAAAATTTGGCTTAGGTAAGAATGAGTTAAAGGAGTAGTAAGTATATATTTTGAACATGTGAAGTCCCATCGGGATGATTATGGGAGAAAATAGTTATTTCAAAATCAAGATGGAAAGTGAGGTGCATAAGATTTGGCAAAATCGACTAAGTTTGTAGAAGGTCTGTCTTCCAATAGGTTTTAGTAAATTTGTGTAAGGAATCTAGAAAGACTCAAAGCATGAAAGTTTAGGCCTTTGAAATATCTTTCCAACAATATATTATGGAGCCCAAACGGAGCTCTGTGCAAAACGTTATGCCCGTTTTACATAATGGCATGCAACCACCGCGGTCCTGCCACGTTTTACCGCGACCGCGGTGGCGAGGCAGTGTTCCAGCGATTTACCGGGGTCGGGACTGCGGCCGCGCCAATCGAGACACGGTGGACGACTTGGGAAGTCGTTTTTAGCCCTATTTCGTCCCTCACAACCCCAAAACATAAAAACTTGCTCTACAAAGGAAAACTCTCAAAAACCTAACTCCTCAAGTGTCTCTCCACCACCCAAGGTAAGTTCTAATGGTGATTCTATATTTATTTCAATTTCTCAACATCTTATTAACATGGGTAAACCCTCCATATCATTAGATATTCGATTGGAACATCATTGATGAGAGAAGAAACCCTAGAACTTGAATTTAAGGAGGTTGAACTTCAAAAAGGTAATATCTTCACCCTCTAGTTGATTCTATCATTGAATTAATGATTATAGACTCTATTTCATGAGATATGAGTTGATGGGTTTGATAGAAAAGCATGAACGGTGATAGGTTTGGGTTGTTGATAGGTTATTATTGGTTATGGGTGTTGATTATCTTATAGGTGATAAAGAATAATGTTGTTTATAACCATTTGAGACTTTAGAATTTATCTAAGAGCAAGAGAATGGGTTATTGGGTGTAGAAATACCATTAATAAGGGATATGAAACTTTATGTCATCGAGTGTTTGATAAAATGCCTAAGTGACCAAAACATGACTATTGTTGCTAATTTGGAATCCCTTTGACTTGTATTGATATAGATTAAAGTTGAAAGGGTTGGCGAATGTTGTATTATGCTCAAGAGCAGGAAGTTAAGATATGTGAGGCTAACTCTCTATGTCTGGGAATTTTAATGATTCTCCCTACACTACATTTCTTTTACGACGTATCAATTGCCTCAGAAATATAGTTAAGCCTAGTTTATTGAATAGTTGTAGGACTTCTATTCTCTAGCTTCATAACTCGTTCATACTTTCATTCTGAACGTTGTGAGCTCCGTTTGTATTCAATATAGACTTGGGTTTGATGTCCCTAAGTCTCAGTATAGCTTACTCAGCATGCCATAAACAGTTGAAGTTTCAGTGTTCACAACCAGTTCAAGAATACATGTCTCATTCTAGTCCTATTCAGTATTCCAGTATTATGTAACTCAGTATGATTCAGTATTTTAGTATAATGTAACTTAGTGTGATCCAGTATTCCTGTATCATGTAACTCAGCGTGATTCAGTATTTCACTATTATGTATTGCAGTATGATTCTCAATTCCTAATTTTAAATATCTGAATGTCGAACACCTGTATTTGGGCCTGATGCCGTAGTTAATGCTTTATGCATCTTTGGGCCTCAGGCCGCAGTTTATGCTTTATGCATTTTGGACCTGAGGTCGCAGTTATGTATACGTATACTTGCGCCCGAGGCCGCTGCACATATATATATTGGGCTTGAGGCTGCAGTTTAATATTCAGATAAACAGATTGTTCATCATTCAGAAGAAGGAGTATTCATATCCTTACTTCCTTTGTTTAGTTCAGTTATTAGGTATCATTTCAGTGATCAATTATCAATTCTCAGTTATCAGCATTTATAATTCTTTCTTTCGGTTGCTTTACATACCAGTACAATTCAAATGTACTGACGTCCCTTTTGCCCGGGGCCTGCATCTCACGATGCATGTAATGATTTACAGGTTGATGATTCAGAGCGCTAGGATTCTCGTACCAGCTATTTGGTGATCCCCAATTCTTTCGGGGCATTATCATTACTACAGTCTTCAGTATTCACATACAGTTTGTATTTTCAGTAATCAAATAANGGCTCTTCTTTCGGAGATAGCTTTCGTTTCAACGGAAAAGACTCCGCATCTTCATCAGAATTATCAGATTGCTTCCTAGGTGGTGGCTTATAATCTTCTTCATCCTCATCATCATCATAATCAACAAGTGCCCCAGATCTAAAGCAACAATGAGTGTCTCACAATATGTTCTCTCAATTTAATAAATCTAGATTCCAGCAGTAACAGCTACTTACCTCACAGATGAGGGGCTTGGAGCAGACCCATTAGGCAAGGCTGGCTGAGCCTGCGCCCTACTTGCATTGGCCACAGAGGCAGACGCAGAATCTTCCTCATCACTGAAGGAATACATATTCAGTGGCTACCATATAAAGTTTTACATGCAAAGAAGTAAAAAGGCATACCTGTCTTCATTGAAATATTCTTCTTCTTCTTTCTCTAAACCACGCTCATTAACTCTTTTCCTAGGGTCGTCTAACAGATCGCCAACACTTCTGGTTCCTGAACAATCTAGGGACTAGACCCAAATAACCGATTATGAGCAAAGCATCACTTTCAAGAGAGCGATGGTGAAAAATACGCGCAGGAATGGACAATACCTGCTCATATTTAATTTTCAAAGAGTGAATAGATGTCAACTTTTCAAACTTGACCAGTTCATCCCAGAATGAGTCCACTAAATACTTGAGCAATATCTTCAAGTTATCCTGCATTAAGTCATGTCAGAGCCTAAGAAATAAGAGAAGCCATGTCACACTTACTTTTACACAGTCTAAGCAGGTGAAGGAAATAAGATGCTACCTTACGAATATGCTCAAAAAGCTCAAGAACAGCTGAGTTTAGAAGATTGTAGCGGTCTCCATTAGCAACAAAAGCATCAACCACTGGTTTTAAGAGATTGTGCTTCGCTATGTAATTCATCAAATGCTCATCCTGCTGATCGTACTTAGAAGAATTTGAATATATTCACAAATACACAGAAGGGAAACACTCGGAAATAATGAACATAATATTACACCTTAGTTTCTGCCAAATTTGTAAAAGCTCTACTGCCATGTGAAAAGATATATGAAGAATAGAGAAAAACTCTTAATGAAATTGGTTGGTTATAGAAGTTGACTCACTATATAGGAGTTTAGGTTATGTGAGATAAGGAAAATTTCGAAGGTCTTGGGTGTCTCTAATTTATGAGAATAATTATTAAGAATATTATACACAATATTCTTATTATTATTCTCTTCTTTCAAGAAACTTCAACCGACTTGAAGGACATTTAAGCAGTACAACCAAAAAGAAGGCACTATTTAGCTCTTATCCCCAAAGGATAGAGTATGGTTTCTTCGCAGCCATACACTAAATCAGACCGTTCAGTATAATTTACTTTTATGAACAAAAGAAAAGGAAAAAAAAAAAGAATCATAACTTATAATATTCTGGTCCAAAATTTTGAAACCATTCTTAGAAAGTTACTTTACACTAACGAACCCAAAAAAGAAGATAATGCTTCAATTCTGAATAGTACCTACAAAACCTACAATCTTCCATGTCATTTTAGTAAGCAATTACAACTACTACAGTACAATCATCTACAAATTCAAAGAAGCTCAATGTTTCAACAGATTATCTTTAACTCAATCAGAGTGACATTACAACTACTACAGTACAATCCTCTACAAATTCAAAGAAGCTCAATGTTTCAACAGATTATCTTTAACTCAATCAGAGTGACATTACAACTACTACAGTACAATCCTCTACAAATTCAAAGAAGCTCAATGTTTCAACAGATTATCTTTAACTCAATCAGAGTGACATTACCTCAAACCTACTAATCTATCTCATTAGTTGTGGTTACTAGAGCGTGGTAAAACATGCATACAGTATACTTATTCACTGACGCAAGTAAAAGTCGCAGGATAAGACATTAGCTAACTAGAGGGTGAAAATTTATCTGTCAAGTGCTGAAAAAAGAGCTTCAAAAATCGTAATATTAAACTTTTTAGCAGAAAATCTTACTTAATATTTTACAAAAATCGGCTCTCAGTGTGTGCATACATGGATGTAACAAGTAGAACCTAGACCTATTTTACAAGAATTGTTCTTAAATTCTGATTCCGCCCTATTCTACCTCTCTGTTGACTCTACATACAATTTTAGGCCAACTCTAATGTCTTGGCAGTTTTACCTAGTTATTATCAGATAAAAACCTACATAAGATCCCAACCAGTTTCATTCGACGTTTGCCAAGTCTATTGGGCCTTCACAGACTCATGAATCACCATAAGACTAACAGAACAAAACAGAAAATGGGGGATCATTAAAAGAAACATTACATGCCCATCTACAGTACTATGCAAAAACATATCTTTTCCTAATGGTCCACAGATCCCCTGTGGATTAGCTGGCCCAACCACAGGTGGTGGACAAGTTCAAAACTCAGGAGAGTACAGACCCACCCTCTACCCTCCAACCACTAAAAGACCAGGATTTAGTCCTAGGTATGGTTCAAAGTCGTGACGTGCTCCTACCACATATCCCGCATTTTAATTCCTTTACTGTTGGTCCGAAGCCTTGGGGGCTGCTTCTCAAAACATCTAAGCTCATTTCACAGGGTAACACATTGACCATAGAGGAGAAATAAATCAAAACTTGAGTCAATTAAGTCATGTCCACAGACAACGTTCTCTTGCTTAAGAGAAGTAAACAACTCACATTGCGCGAAATAAGAGTTCTCATAAATCTAACAGCGGCAACTACCAGGTACTTTTCTTTTCTTCGTGTCAGAAAGAGAACTTTATCTATCACATTATTTAGAAGAAAGTTGCACCTGCGACACAGAAGAGAATCAACATTAAACCAAAGAATCAAATTTAGCATTTAGGAACCAAGTAAAAGCATACCAAGATGAGAAGATTACTTTATTCTATAAGGATGGTGCACGATACAAAAACATAGGAGATCACAAATATTTAGTAGTATTTCAGGCTTGACGCTGCTTTGCTTTTCAGTTCCTCCATCAGAGCACTCCGAGTTACGGACAGTTTCTGCAGCACCGTCTGCCGGGCAGGATGATGTTATAGCATCAATGAGTTGACTTAGGTGCTTCTCGTAGAAAATTTCAACAATGGCCTCTCTCTGGAACAAATTTAAGGAAGATAATCAAGAGCTTGAAGCAAATAAAAGTCAAAATTAGCTGTTGACTAGAGAGAACAACCTTATCCAAATACTGTTATCATTATTTATCCATTTTCCTATAGGTCCTCCCAGCCTCGTTCGTTTAAAACTCATTTGCTAGCCCAAATCGTGCAAAGATTTATCCTTAGAACTTCAGGAAGGAGAAAAAATATGGTGCCAGGATAATGGTTTTTCTACTCCCTCTAGTTTTTAACTGTGTTTCCTCTTCCTCTACAGTTTCTTCCTTACCCTTCCCTTCCCCTAGTTACAGATGGTCAGAATATTGAAATGCAGTTTCCCCGCTTAGAAAGGTCAGACATTATCAGTCAAAAATAGAATTGCGTAAGATGTTCCACTCACCATCACAATACTTGAGAAGACATAAGAAACAAAATTCTAGATCTGTAGGAGAAAAAAGGACATTGTATATATCCATGTTTTAAAAGCCAATCCTGTCATTAACTTGACTAACCTGAATTTTTTGGACAAGATACTAAATTTTAACAGAAAATTAAAACTATTATGGAAAAATCAGAAAAGTTATGGGAAAAGCACCTGGGTTCCTGATGCATATGAATCCAAGAGACTGCGCAGAATTTCAAGAAACTGGCAATGCATGTCATCCCCAAAATCTGTTAGCATACCTTTGACCTGCAAATTTGAAACCATGCTATTATTTACTTCTAGTACCTTGCATGGCAACAAGCACGGCTACCCTCCATTTGAGAGGAATGTAAAGCCAAGGGAAAAAAATGTGAGAGGTAAAATTAACAAGTATCGTCTAAGCCGGAAAAAAAAGGACACGTCTTAGTGCTGCTATTAGGAAAATATCCAGCATATGGAAACAGGAAACATCAAAATGAGAAATGGAGGAAAGACAAACCACCTTCTCCAATTATTTATCTCATGAATCACATACCACATTCACAGCATAGAATAACTGAACATTCTCACACGACAGCAGACGCCTCACAACTTAACATGTTGAAGGGGATAGGCATAAGATAACAAAATCCGTATATTGAAGCACATCCCAACAGTTGAATAAATGTTACATGAAAGAATGCATTTTAGGAGCAGGTAACTAACAGCTAGAGTCACACTGATTTTAATAACCTATGGAACAAGAAAAGAAGAAAAACCTAATCTTTGCTCACCAGAAGTCCAAACAAAGCAAGGCCTTCCTGACGAATTACATAAGATCGCAGAAGATTTGGATCTTGATTTAAGAATAGAATGAGGATGTCTGTCCTGCATCAGTTAGAATCATTTCGGATAAGAACTTCAGGGAAGCGACAACCACAATGATATGCAAAGACAAAAGGAAAAGGAAAAGAAAAAGAGTCTACTTGCTAAAATATAACGATATGGTCCATTACCCCGTCAGAACTAGCTTTTTGTCTTGGCTCTGCAAAACATCAGCTATGATATCGAATATCCCTTCATTAACAAGATCCCTGCAACCATAATAGTATTTGTAGTTCTATCACCTCATTTGCTATAAAAGCAACATAAGATAAATAAATAAAAGGGCAGGCCAGTGCATAAAGCATCTCGTGTTCATGCAGGGTCCGGGGAAGGGTCGCACCCTCACAAAGGTGTGATGTAGGCAGCCTACCCTGATGCAAGCATCAGTGGCTGATTCCACGGCTCGAACCCGTGACCTATAGGTCACACGGAGACAACTTGACCATTGCTCCAAGTAACGGATTCTTCCAATATCAATAGGTTGATTGTTTCGCTCCTCCTTCCAACATAAGATAATTTGGACTGATATTTCATACTAAAGACATTCATGTGTGATGCATACCTAAATAGCCGATGTTGCTGGACCACTTGCAAGCTCTTACTCAAAGTACAAAACTCATGCAAGAAGTGCACCTACCCAAATCCAAGAAAAGGAAACATTCAGTGCAACAATGATGAGACTACAAGTACCCTATCAAGGTCTCCCGCCAAATATAAGAATAAGGAACAGAAAAGTATTAGGTCAAGACGTAAAGTTACTACCATACATTTTAGGGATGGCTGAAAGAGGAATAAGTACATGATTTACCTATTATTATCATAGCTCAATAAAGGATATATTATGAGCTGCCAGGGACAGATTTTTGGATTTTTTTTAAATCAAAAGTCCATCATAGTGATGGAGGAGTTAGGCTTGACTCCAACCTGTGCATTCCAGATTTTTTGGATTTGTGGTGGAAGAAAAGACAATAATTTTCTAGCCTGTCATCCAACAAGCTCAACTACTCTTTGCAATCTCACTACAGGTGAATAGCATAAAAAGTAAATTTTGGAACTAATGTTAGACAGACACTACGATATATAATTCTGCAAATTCTACTCCCACCTGAGTTCGAAATTTTCCTACATTTGCGCCAGGCAACTTCTATATCTAACCAGCACACTCTTTCTAGGCTTAAAAGGGAAAAGGAAGATCTAGCCCTGATGAGAAATTGATTGAAAATATTTTCTTTTATATGGCCAGGATACCAAGAGTTTCGTATTCCACTTGCTTTAAACAATTCGAATGGAAATTAACTAACTAAAAAGAAATCCCTCAGCTTGCTGTTTATAAATAAACCCAAAAAATTCTGGAAAAATGACCCTTACCACCCCCCTCCCACCAAAAAGGAAAAAGATGCAACTACTGAAACGTCTTTAATATAAAGAGAAATGACATCACGCATGGCTTCCATTGAATGATTCACAAAGTCCAATGTAGTGAAATTGTCTTTTGCAACTTAACATTGAGTATTTACAATCTCTGGATTGGGTTATTTATTATATGCAAGCTGATATTCCCACTCCCACTCCGCTCAAGATTAGTAACCTAGACATGAGTCGGGAGAAATCATGAGATCCTGAATTGATCTAATATATGGAAGACCATTGGGATTCATCAGTTAATAAATGACCCATATCAAGAATGGGGAGAGGGTCGGTGATAAGCCAAGGGTAATAAGAGGGAAGAGGCGCTCGACACAATCAATTCCAGGAGGAGAGGGTGGAATGCATGTAATTCTCACCAACCGAGACAAAAAAATACTAGGTTATTTTGCCCATTGACCTAAGCCTTGGTAGACAAATTTACCCTACGCTGGTGAGAGATAGCAGGTACCCCGTGAAATAGTCGAGATACGCGCAAGCTGGCTCGAACACCACCATTACATTAAAAAAAAAAAAGGATGAAAGTAAAGTTGGATTGTGAAAATGACTTTTTAGGAAAACTTTAGGATGCAATTTGTGTATTTTTTTTGTATTTAATAGAATGTGGTTACTAAAGCACCAACAAGGTGCTAATAGAGGCAGAGGAGGAAGATACACACAAGGTGGTGCTTTATGTGAAAGATAGCAGGAGACGGTGTCAACAATTTGTTACGTCATTGTCCTATTGCACACAAGTTATGGTGTATGGTGTGGAATATATTTGGAGTCGTCAGGGAGAGAAGTAGAATAAAAGCAGAAAGTAGCACCCCTAGCGGACATGTGGACATTATGGAGGGAAAGGAACGAGAATGCATTAAAGATTGAAATTCCTTTTGAACAGATTATAGGAATATTTTTGCTTTTTATATATTTTTGGAGCACCTTTAAGATTAAGGTTGGTACTTAAGATTTGGGTGCTCTTTGTAGAGAACCATGTTTGTTTGTAAGGTTCTTTACGTGGTATTCTATCTTGATTGCAGTGTTTCCCCATATCGTTAACAAGAAATTACTCTATTATCATTATCAACGAGTATAAAGAGGGAAAAGATTGCCCTCAAATCTTATGTTTGACCAATTCAATTACTGACAAAACAGCAAGCAAAAGGAATATAAAAGAATGATGATACAACAAAAAAAAAAGATAAGAATCCAAAGACTACAAGGACAAGCAATTATCAGAAGCTGACAAGATAGTGAACAATTAAATGTCTTCTGAGAAAAGAACAAAGAAATCAATTAATAGCTGCAATGCAAGAGAGGAAACAACAATTTTCTTTACCAAATTTTTCTTTGACTCTGCAGATGTAGAAGGCGACTTCAACTTTCCAAACAAATCCTGAATGAAGGTGCTATCATCTTTTAACAGAGATACAACCTATATCAAAACCAAATAATCAGGAGACCATAATAACCACAAGATAGAACATTTTAACTACAGGAGCAAATCTTACAACTGCATTGTTTGAATGGATTATGGAATTAAGGTTTGCAACTGTTGCGTCATCCAACATTCGAGGCAAAATGACATCCTGAATGTTAGTCCCACAAACTATAAGTTTCATTGGTAGTACAGCATGCGGTCTAAAAGCTAATAAAAGAAAAAAAAAAGTATCACCTTCAGATAGCCAACTCGGTATGTTTGATGTATCTTTGAAAGGACTATTGGATCTTTAATAGCTATAGCCTACCACACCCACAAGGGAAACAAGACACTTCAGCAAACATTCCTCGGAAGTCAGTAGGAGGTATGGAGTAGAAAAGAAACATAACATACCTCCTTAAAGACCACATGCTCTTTCAGAAAATTGCGATGATGAACATGAGGAGCATCTGGATCATCTGTTGACCAAAATATGCATCAGGCCGTTCCAAAATAAGATCAACAAGTAAGCAATGAAAGCTTGAAAATGGAAAATAATATTAACTCATCAAACAGATTATTGTTATCCACATACAAGAAACCCAAATTCACAATCCACAGTGCTATACGCGCATCAAGAATGTCCTTGTTATATACAACTCAAAAAACTTCGCCAATAACAATGAAAAGCCCTAAAGTTTCCAACTTCAACAACAATAGAGATTGAGTTCAACATTCTAAAGTATGACGTAAATAAACAAGGATTGTACCTAAGCACTTGGTCTAGTAAAAGTTTTCAGTTTTCAACAAGCACATACCAGAAGAGAAAGCAAGGTCAAACCCCGAAACAGGAGGATTAGCAGCATATCTAAAGAGCACCAAATGAAAGACTCAGTCACCCCTTTTTGCGGATAAGTGACTCAGTTTCTCAAGTAGAGGAGATAATATAATCAAACACTAGTTTACCTTGCGCATATATTCTACCTTTTCTCTTCTACTGTCATCCAATTATCAACCCCCCCACACACACACACACACACACACACACACAAAAAAAAAAAAAAAACTGCTCTTTAAATCAAATAAAACAACTAACAGCATAATGCATAAAAAATTTGCAACTCAGTTGCCAAAACATACATTTACCTTTCACATCTGCAAATTAAACTTTCCACTGAATTGCCAAAACATACATTGATATTTACTAGTTAGGAATAGGCTTTAAATTTGTTAAGACAACTTTTCATATTATTTTATTATTATTATTATCATACATACATATATATATTAAAAAAACTTAATTTCAGTACTACTCTTATTTTATTTTGGTATGATTATGATATGAGTTGAGCTTAAGGAAAGAAGTGAGGATTCATATCGCCGACCCCAACTTTGTTTGGGACTGAGGCGTAGTTGTTGTTGTAGATAAGGAAATTAAAATGAACCATATCAAGCTGAAATTCTAATCATAGAGCTAGCGGCTAACGCTCATGCGTAAAAGAAGCAAAATTGGTTACCATATACCGCAACTAAAATGCAAATATAATTAAGATAGAAGAAAGGAGCGCATCCACTACAGGTCTTCAAGCAATCCTATTAAGATAGAGTTCCATTGGGATCAAAAGAAGTCATTTTAACTAAAAACTGAAAGTAATAAGATAAAAAAACTTACATTCAAGACACCCAATAATATCTATTATCAGCTCATCACCAAATATTTTTTCAAAGATCTGAGAGCTATTGAGCATAACTGCAAAAACCCACTTCATGCTGATTAGTTAACACCCACAAAAACAAGCAGAAGTATTCGCAAAAGAAAAACGGGTGACAAATAGACAATACTAACTGATTCCTCTCACTATTTTGAAAAGAATGTGAAGATTCTCAATGTTCTCCAAATCTTCAGAGATGCTAAATAAATCCATCAGCTTACGGAAAAAATCTTGCTGCAGAAGAAAAAATCCAACTCAGAGTGATTCACCCATGACCCAGAAAACAAATGAATAAACAAGCAAATTNCAAAGGCCTCCAGCTATTCCAAGACTGGTATAAGGATGAAAGAGGCAGGGAGGGAAACTGAGGGATCACTAGAGATTACGCCGGAGTTTCGCCGGCGACGGAAAATTCTGTGCAGATCCCAAAGGAGTTATGGGTCTCTGTTAAGCTACCAGGGCCCAGATTGAATACAGTTTGATGGGGAAGAGGGCTAAAGTGGGAAAAATCAGGGGGTGAAGAGTGGTTGACGAAGGGGCCCTGGCAGTACGAAAGACTAAACTGTACATACAACCACAATTTTAAAGGCACTGAAAAGTTTACCACACCTATCAAAATTGATAAGAAATGGACACTGGGCCTAACTCAACCTCAAAAGCTAGCTCGTGAGGTGAGGATTGCCCAAGCCATATAAAGAGATCAACCATTCCTAAGTCGATGTGCGAGACTCAACAAAAATTTTATACCTAATATATGAAAACAAAGGTAACATCCACTCATGGTTCAGTTTCCATTTTTCCAACTTATCTATAACAGATAATATAGTTCTCATCCCGTTATTGTTAGTGTAATCAATAACTGCTTCTAAAAAGGGAAGACCCAACATCTGCATTTTCAAGATAGGTGATGAATATGATAGCGAACAATTCCTAAGCTGACAAGCTCGAAGCAGTTTCACAACCATTGCCACTCTTGGCTTCTTTGCTACGAGGGAGATATTACTGATGCTAATATGAGGTCACACAACCCTCATTTTAATGAAGATTTATTGTCTGAAAAGAAATCAAGCTTAGAGAGCTGAGAGATTCATGAATCTCACATCATGCAATATTAGTTCTGTAACACGCAACTGATCAGCAATGCCACTCTCCACAACTGTCTGCAAAACAAACAATAAACAACAAATTTTCAGAAATCAGCAAACAGTATGAAAAGATTTACAGCACTCGAAAGAGTATTGCCTTCGCAAAAAATAAAAGAGAGTTTTTCCTATGTTGCATCCCTTATAATGATATTGGCCCTAAACCTTTTACTTTTACAGGCTTTTTTATTTGGTTGGGATGTGGAAGGTACCAAGGAGAGTGTTAAAGGCCTCGAGGTTGCAACTAACCACAAACCTAATAGACATTGGAACTTTGAGAACAACTAATTTTTTCAATAATGTTGGGCGAGCTTGCGCACACCTCAGTTATTTATAGGTACTGAATAACTTAGCCACCAAGGCTTAGCAGATGGGAAGAAATCACCTACTCAGGTCTCCAAGAAAAAAAAAAACACAAAACTTTATTGACCACTAGCCAAACCCTTGGGTGCAACTTTGAGAATAGGTGATCATCAGGGCAATATAAGAAAAAGGCATTTGAACTATTTAAGAAGATAGGAAAAACTGGAAGGTGGACATTCAGATATACCTTTAGTATCTGGGAAAGCGTAGAAAGCTCAACCGGGGGCAACTCCCTCAGGTCACTGTTGACACTATGAAATGTTTCATCTGAAAATAGTTAGGAAGAAAAAAGAAATAAATAAGTAAAATACATAAAACCTTTTTCCGCTAGGTACAAAAAATGAGCCAATAGAAACCAACAATAATTTGTAAAGAGAGCCCGCCCAATGACAGGTGTCCTAGAAGTAGGAGTGAAACTATGTGAACCTTTTTCTGTAATGCATCAATTTACTATTTCCTTTGACATCATACTTATAGTTTTACTCTCTTTTTTCCAGAAACAATCAAGACTACAATATCATGAACCCCAGACTACAATATCATGAACCCCAGACTATCCATTGGAGGATCTCTGATATAGGTGGACAGCAGAACATACAGCCTCAATCCCGTTTCACGTGATAGCCCAGCTTTATGAGGTCAAGATTATCGATTCGTACATCCAAGTTATTTCTTGATAAGGTAAAACTTTATTAAATAAAAGAGATACCAAGATGGTACAAATGCTATTCGTAAATCCAAGTTAATCAATTAATTTTAAAAAAAAAATGAAATATGAACATGAGAAACAAATTTGGTAATAAATATCTGTGGAAGCTAATTTTTACAAATATTTAGTTAAGAGGGAATACAGTAGTAGCAATACATCTATATGTTCAAAGTAATCCTCGTCAAAATGAACACTTCACAAAGAAAATAAGGTTAAAGAAAGAGCTCCACCAGTCAGACAACAATATCCACTTTTTTTAATAAATCATTCTGATTCAAGAGTATCTCTCATGCCATCTCCCAACTCAGCCAGTGGATCATATATCGTCAATAACATGTCTCACATACACTCATCTCAAAATCATCAACAATGCGCCTCACATAAACTAATAATTGTTCCCAACAGAATAATTGACTCGCAATCATAACAACAGCAATTGAAGTGTTTAACAATAGCAACTCAAAAGTATTCGTCGGGGAAAAATTTTATACTAAGTGACAACAAATTGCAATTGACTTTCACATTTCCAGTTTGACAATTGAGTTGGGGACCAAAAGACTTAGCAATCTATGCTAAACCAAGAAGATAAAATTCCATTTCCAACTCAATTAATTGGGAAAATTAGACCGAAATTTTTCGATGTACATACTCCATATATCTACATGGGGCCAGAAATACGACTATCCCCATGCGAGTATATCATAATTGCAGCCAAAATTTTAAAAAATCAGAATCATGGGAACTCAACAATGTTCTGTTTTTCAAGAGTATAAAAGGTATTACGTTAAAGACTTACTGTTAAGACTGCTGAAGTGCATATTCCTTTGCACACTACATATATTGTCCCTACAAAGGAAAAAAATGACATAAGATGTTATTTGCTGATGTTTACAACAGCTTTTAAAAAAACAAGGAGGGAAGTATAACCAAGAAAAAAGGAAATAAATGTAAAAATTTATTTTCCAAAAACTTACCATATATAGGAGCAACCAGTAGTCTCTTGAAAGCTAAGAGCTAGTTCAGTTGAATACTCCGGATCCCTCCAAGAAATAATTGTATCTGAAAGAAGACTATATTATTCTGAAACTGAATAACAACATAATAGAAGTCATAGAAGGGGAGAAAGGGGACAAAACTATGGAGCTTGAGGATACCTTCTTGCTTCCGATAGATATCCTCTGCACTAATACGGTGCAGAAGCAAAGTCTCGTTATCATCTTCATCAAGTACAAGCAATCCTAGTTCTTCCGATCTCTACATCAGCATCCACAATCACAAGCAATAAAATTAACCCCTCTCAATTGGTTCGTATAAATCATTTTTGACAACACAAGCAAAATGGTATAAACTGAACATCAAACATTCTACTAAAACTCACCTCTATATAATCCACAGTTACATGCCCTGTCCCTTGATCATCCCATTTCCCATCGTCATTAAGACGGTAGACCTTTACACGCTGCAACATAGATGGGACAAAGGTTAATCTTACAAAATTAAATTAATATGGGAAAGTAAGAAAGACCAACTGCAAGGCCAAATATATTAGTAGTCAAAGCTGCTTAGGATTGTTCATCAGCCTGTAACGAAATCATAGTTGGGAAAGGGCAGGAAGGTTCTTTGTTTTTCACTTTTTTGTTTTGTGGAAGGTGGGAGGCAAGGTAATTCTCATAAAAAATACAGAGATAAAGATACAAGAATGTAAAAGAAAATCTACATTGAGTACAGAAAAGCGCACAGAACACAAGATGCTACAAACCGCACAAGTATTCCAAAACCTCCTGCACACCGGAATTGCAGACGAAGTTTCAGCTGGTAACAGCAAAACAAACACAGTTCCACTCATGCAACCAATTAGCGCCTTAATCAACTTTAATACATCTTTCTAAATGAAAAAAATGTGATAGATCTTTTCATTTCTGCACAAAACTGGACAGAGTTTCCCACCGTAGATTCCCCTTAATAGTTATTTGAACTTTGTTAGCTCCTTAGTATTAGCCTCAACATTTGTATTGGAGCTAGCATTATTCCTTTTTTGCTATAACTCTGTTGTAACTATTAAGCATCTTCTTGATGCCAGCAATGAAATCAATTGCTTCATCAAAATAAACTGGACAGAGTTTAATACCAATATCTTTTATTTTTTATTTTAGAAAATGTAATTGCAGTTTATAACCCAATATCACATCCAAAAGAATAAGATTACTTGCTATGCGACAAATATCAGATGGTAAAGTCACTTGGTAATAAGAATAGGAAGTGCAGTAACATCTACTTTTCCAAAGAACTACCGCAGCAATGCCAAGATACTATCCTACATTGGCATAACGTCACCTCCAATGGAATCTCGACTGATGCAATCCATTACCAATCTGCAAATGCTATACTAAACTTCGCTCGTACTATCCAATATGTTGATTGACAAACCAATGATGTTGTGTACCAATCAGTTAGAGTAAGCTATGTAGATCGTCTATATTCATTGGCTCATCCCAATACTACATAAAACTCCTTTTAAGAAATTTAAGAAAAGTTGGCCCTCTAAATCAATCTCAACTACTTGGTATCACCTATATAGATTCTTTAATAAATGGTATTCTACTCTAAGCTAAGTTTGCATTAATTCCGAGAGATTTTAGGCCTTCTGAGACAATTACAATGTGTGACCTTAGGTTTTCTTTGTCTCCATTTATTACCTTTTTTAATAAGTAACGAAAACACATCTCCTTTTTACCTTCAACCATCATATTCTTCTATAACTACCAAGTACCAACCAATGGATATGGAAATCTATGCAAGATATGACCAAACAATCTCGAGTGACCTTATCCGATGTTTTCCTATGTATTCGCTCTTAGCATCCTCTACTAATAGCGTACATTTTAATATTCTTTGTTGATAAATAAGAAGACAACACAAAACTTCTCGTTGTCGATAAAGGATCATATCTAATATTGTACGGACTTGTACCATTGCACACCTATCTTCTTTTTCTGTTTTGATAAGTAGGTAAAATTTTATTAATGTAAACATACGAGCAATAAGCTAATGGTGGACATTACATAATAGGAGGCCCCTTTATAAAAATACAGATCTTAACATCTGCACATTTATGACATTAATCTTGTGGATATATTGGGCCTTGGAGGTCCAACATTTACTCTCATGCAACATTGCTGGTCTCACAAACGTTTTACAAACTTGCATTTCATGTAGTTAGATATTTTTTTGCCATATAGTGGTCTTGTAGTACTCCTCCATTTCAACCATCTTATTCTAATTCAATGTGCTACATCTTCATCTATGATCCATCATACTATTCTTCAGGAAAACTGAGTCCACATATTTAGGTCGTCTGCATTTAAGCACTAACAATCCTAAATAATCTCACTTCACAATCATTTTTCTGATTGGAATTAAACTTGTACTAGATATATTTTTTTGGGTCTTACTTTTTCGTTGGATAGTTTTTAGATGGAGCTTGTTTAACACAAAACAACCTCATCAGAATAGCTTTCCGCTAGCTAACAGGTGATGTATTTGTCAATCCAAATCAAAAAGTATTAATTTATATATTCCTCCACTGTGAAGTTGCAGCAGACTTATGGAGCATGTTTTTCACTATTTTCGGACTAAAATGGGTTATGTCTTTAAGTGTTAGAGATGCCTATGAAAACTGAAATACAAGAAGATCTGGACAATGGTGCCTGCAAGTATTTTTAGGTATATGTTTTGATGGAATCTCAACTTCAAGCTACTCCCTGAAGGGTTAGCTGTGCTTAATCAATTTAACTGGATTAACCTTTCCCCTGTAAATAACACTGATCAATTTTTGGATTTTGTCAGCTCCTTAATCTTATTGGTCTCTCCTTTATATTTGGGCTGACTCAATCTCAATTTCGTAACCTTTGCATCTGCTAGATGGTTTTTGATGATAGAAACGCACTTCAGAAAAAATAGTATCTTATTCTACTTACCCTAAAATCCTCACATAGTAAAGTGCTTCTCTCAGTTCCAACTTTCGGCTGACTACCCACTAATTTAACATTAATCTAATATCAAACTAACTTCAAAAGGTCTGTTGAAGCAACAATAGCACATCTACACAAATACTCAACACTAGCAAGCCAAACTTGTTCAATTTACGCCCTCTTTCAGCCCCTAACACTATTTAATCTCATAGACAAAAGGTATAGTATACTGAATATTGTGTGTCAATATTAAGACAAAAGTAGCTTTGTGCTTTTTCATATTAAGTTTGCTTGCCTGTGCCCTCAGTAATCTAGCAAGATTCGTGATGCGACTGTTCACAAGTTTTCCAACTCTTTCCATATCAGATCCATTGAGAAACAAAACTAACCATCAATGCCAACTCAAATGACAAGTGAGGCTTGCTCAGTTGGTAAAAGCACCTCCACCCATGACCGTTAGGTCCTGGGCTCGAGTCACGCTGGAGGGGAAGTGTGGAAACACTATAGATCCACCTAAATTGGGAGGGGTTTTAAAAAAACCACCAATTCAAACTTGTAGCTAAGTTAGAAGCTTGTGTATCACATTGTAGCAAATCTTAGGTCACTCAAAATTTTGTAAAATCATACTTCAACATCATCCGAAGATAGATTAGGTCTCTCTTATATTTTCCATATCCCATTTCCTTATCTCAAGAGCAAGTTTTATCCATCAGTACGAAATATCCATTTCACTTTCCAAATAACAGGAAAAATCTAATTGCAGACTAATTTTGAAACTTGTGCTTAAGACTTTTATAACTTAAAGAGGACATTCTTAGACACCCTAAGAACAAGAAGAGGTGAAACAAGTTCACTCAAATCAAACCAGCTCTGTTTCACCTGAATGCTTTTTGGAGAAATCTTATTTTTCTTTGGGGCATATGACATTTCCAGGCACATGCATATGTTTCCCGTCCCAAAGGGGCTAAAATATTTACTGATATTTGCTCTATTTTTCCTCCTTCTACAAAAAAAGTGCAAAAGCTGCAATTTAGGAAAACAATTAAGTAAATGATTTTCTCCAAAAAAAAATCCAAAAGATGAGTGCCAGAAACAACTGGTACTCAATCTATTAAAAAATAAAAAATTGAAAAATTCATCAACATAATGACAAGTGGCTGCCTTACCCTACGGCCTACACAGGTTACACAAAAGAGGAAGCAAAAACAACTAAGTACCAGAAACAACTATCAAGCAAGAGCTCTTCCAATTAGATATACAAATCATAAGTTACCCTTGGCGCCAACCGAAAGAGGCTGATTTTTTAATACAGGTCTAGCTTCAGTTAAGATTGATCAGTAACCAGAAGACATAAATTAGTCTAATATAAACTGTAGAAGGCTGGATAACCAGAGCATAAATTACAAAACCCATAAGAATTTAACAGTATAACAAAGCAAGTATAGAAGACTTTTTTTTATGACGCGGTGTTCGGGCAAACTCCCGCACACCTCAGCTATTCCACCGGGTATCTGCTACCTCTCCCTAACACATATACCGGGTAAGGCCCACCAAGAACGTAGAACACATATTGTGCCACCTAACACTACAAAGTACCTTCTAAAAGCAGGGGCATAGCTAGCTCTTCGGTTATGGATTCAGCCAAACCCAGTGGTTTAGTTACAAACACTGTATTTGTCTTAAGAACTCTATTGGATATATACAAATTACATATTAATTTAGAACCCAATAGCTTAAAAATACTAGAATCCCGAACCCAAAAGCTTCAAATCCTGACTCCGCCTCTGTCTACAAGGAAACTGAACCGAAATATAAATACTCGGACATACAGTGCGCAGAATTCCCAGTAAATATCCATTTTTTTAGCTCAGCAAATAGTTAATATAGTCAAAATATAGTGAATATTCAATCCCAACTAGTTCGGGATAAACACTTAATCAATTGTGTAATATATTAATTCCAAATAAAAAAAGAAAAACCAATCACTGTGAAATTAGTGCTAGGGTTAATGCAAAGGTGCGATTTTTTGGAGTGAATTTAAGAAACGAAGCTAACCTGCATCGGATTATTAGTTCCCGTAGACTTCTCTTGAGCACCCATGGAAACTTCTAGAACTCAAAATTCACTGCGCCAGTAGTGTAGATTAGATAGCGAGGAACGACAATTAGGGTTTTTGAGTGGGCACAAAAAGGGGAGAGAAAAAAAGGTAGAAGAGGAAGTATTTGAGGTTTTTTTGAGGTATAGAAAAATTGGGGAATCAATTCAAAACCCTAACCGCCATTGAAATTATTTTGCTCAGTGAATTGAATCTTCTATGCTTCTCTCTCTCTCTTCTTTCTCTCTCTTCTCTCTTTCGTTTTTATTCTCTCGTTTATCTGAAGTGTTTTTCCGTGGCCCGACCTTTGGAACACAGAAGCAGTACATTGGTTAGTTATTAAAATCCTTTATTGCCCTTCATTTACATGAAAATACCGGAGTATGCCACTGCTGTTTAGGGAGGGGAATCTTTATTTCACCTACTCTATTTTTTTTTAAATCATTTACAAGGGTTATTTTTAATAAGCAAATAAATACATAATATGTATTTATACTTCTTTCACTTTATATTTAACTGCATTAAATCACTTAATCATAATAATTTTGTATAGTTTGACGTAAATATTACTCCCTCTGGTCCACAATACGTGATTTTTTTACTGTTTTCACACATATTAAGCAATTCATCTTTTAACATTAATTATCAATAAAATTGATCATATTAACCTTTAATATCTCTCTTTTTTTTGTTAAAGGGCGGATATTTATATAACTACTGACCAAAAATACGTTACACAGTATTGTCATTGCTGGGGTACTGTAGTTCCCCCAACAGTGCGATGTTATGAGATATAAAGTCAATATTACATGCCAGAAAATCTCTAACAACTTCAGTTCCTAGGATGTCTGCCCAAAATACATCATTTGCAAACATCAGAGGAACTGCTAGTAAGCTAAATCTACCCAAAAAATGTTGTCTTTGCTGCTTCTTTTGCCATTGCGTCTGCCACTCTATTCGGCTCCTTATATGTGTGCTTTACCACGACCCTCACCATCCTTTGTATTAACAACCTGCATTCACAAGTCATAGGCTCATATGTTAGGTTACATGTAATTAGCATTTATATTAATTCTACCGAGTCAATGTTGATGTCTAACGGGATCCAATCATTTTGTTCAGCAAGTTGCAGTCTTTTAGGAGAGCTTTCAATTCATCTAAAGTGTTGGTTGTATGTGGTATATTCTCCATATACCCCAATAATCCAATCCCCATTGTGATTCCTGAATACTCCACCTATTCCTCCTATGCATGGGTTACCCATTGCTGCCACATCAGTGTTCAGCTTAAAGAAACTTCTTCTTGGGGGCTCCCATTTTACAGTGATTTGGATTTTTTTTTATGGTTGTATGTTTTACCAACATAAAGTATTCAGTTGCTTTAGAGATAGTGTTGGCGATGCTGATTCTATCTTTTTCATTGTTGAACAAGTTGTGGTTTCTGCATAGCCATATATGCCAGAAACAAAAAGGAATGATGTTTTCCAAGGAATGCGATCATTAAAAGGTGTGTTCCTAAGCTTGTTCCAAGTGAAGGGTCATTGTTGGGATGAAAAGATGGGGTTATATTGCCTACTCTCAATTGAGGCCTTGGATAGTAAGTCTTGCCAGAACTAGGCTGCATTAATGCATTCAAAGAAGATGTGGTCACTTGTTTATTTAAGACTGTGGCAGAAACAACATTGTGAGTTATAGTTAACCCCAATTCTGTGGAGGTAACCTCCAGTAGGTAACCCTTTGTAGGTAAGAAACCAGATGAAGTTTTTGATTTTGTTAGGTGTGTGTAATTTCCAAATCCAATTAAAATTCTCTTCCTCGTCTATTTCGACATTGTTTTTGGTTTTGCTAAGGAAATAGTAGGCAGAGCTGTTGGTGAAGGACCCACTATGAGTCAGTCTCCAGATTAGCTTGTCATCCTTGGTAGGGTTTGGAGGGATGAAGAGAGAATTGATCATGTTAGAAATACTTGAGGGCAGATCCATAGAGATGGTGGAGAGAACCCAAACCCCTAAATTGTAGATAGTGTCTACTTTGGAAATTTCATCATTCTGAGTAAGGGGGTCTTCTATCATGTCCCTAATGGCTAGCTGATTGGGGATCCAAGCATCACTCAGAAAGCTAACATTGTTTCCCTTGTGGACCACCCATGTGATTGCCTTCCTGCAAGTATCACAGCCCTTGAGGATGCATTGCCAGGTGGGAGACTTAGAGTATCTGTCATGACCCATTTTCTGAACAAGCCGGGACTGGCACTCGATCACTAAACATGACCGAGCGAACCATCTCTGCTTATCAAATCTATTATAACTCCAAACCTTATATGTAACAAAGCAATGCTCTAACCAAATACTTTTGATTAATTTTAAATATTTAAATAAATCAACTCCAAAACTTTATTCATAGTAACTACTGAATTACTGCTAAGTTATTATCAAAAACATATGAATCTTAACCCAACGACTATGTCTATGAAGCCTCTACTGATAAACTAACGCACTACTCAGGACATGAGATTTCCTGGCCAGTTCTCTAAGTAAACAAAGAAATAACTAAATAAAGATGACTCTAAGGAATACTTCATGAACAAAAGCGGAGCTCACCACTAGCACTGGAAGAGAAGAAAGTTCTAACCCGTAGCCTTCTCGCCTGCAAAACCGGTTCCTACGTTGTACCGCAGACCAACGTAGGTTCCCAAAAGAGAACGTCAGTACCATCCATTATACTCAGTCAATCTCAACAACAGGGGGGAAAACTTTAATAACATATACATTATGAGCAAAGGTTCTAAATGCATGTAAAACATAAAGCTTATAAGAATAATTATAAATAATTGCATAATAGCAGTTTATAAATATTCTAAAAGAAATTCTTTTCTTTTTCTTTCTTATAAAAAAATTCTTCACCTTATACTTTGTAAGTTCCAACTATCATGACTTAATTCCGTCTCAGTCACCGTGTGATCGGCACGGGTTCGATCCCAACCTGATCGAATAGGCACAATCCACGAGGTGTCACTCGCTTCATGGTTCTCAACGCTCATGTATCATACCTCAGCCTGGCTAAGTAAATTCTCAGCAACAAGACCCTCGGCTCGTGTACTCCCTACTTTGGCACAAGTAGTTTCAGGAAGTCAACGCCTTGGTCAGGACCCTCGGCCTGGA